ATAAATAATATTAAGTCTTTTTCAAAAATCGTATTATGATTTGTAAATGTTTGCTCCCTAAATTCCTCAGTAATGAGTCTATTATGTCAAATCTTTCATTAATGTTTCTGAACTGTCTTATCATAAAGTCAGAATGAAGCTCCGAGCTGATTGGTCCATTTTACTGTCAATCAAAAGCTGCAGTCTGTGGGCGGGTCATAAGGACTTTCCTCAACAGTAGTCTCTGTACAGAAGCCATTAAGCAAAACATGTGTCAAATCAAAACAGGAGAACCTATTGAATAATTTGCACACCTTTTATGTAAATTAGAATATATTAAGAGGTGGTATTAATTATTCTTTGGTTATTGTGGCAGAAGTTTAGTTACAGCTCAGAATGTAACAAAGATGGGAGTTTCCGACCTTTGAGCAGATAAGATTCTTGTGCTTTTTTTCTTATTTTTTTAATTGATCTTTTTTTATTTTTTATAAGTTTACAAAGAAAATGGTTTTTAAAATCACAAGTCCTTACAACAAGTATGACAAGATAATCTGAGGCTAAGCTGACATAATACCTGCTGAAAACCATTCATATCTACTCCTTTGAGATTTATTATCTGAAGTATTTACTCTCATGATGTCTGTAGTCTTTGATAACCCTCCAGCGTCTGATGAATTAACCGTAACGTGTTTCTGCTTCTTCACATGTTTCTTTTTTTTTAATTTCCCATTTAGCCTCTCCTCTCCCAACAGCTCTGAGGAGCCTCCAGCTGGGCCTGTCATCGACTCAAACACATAATAAGTGCAGCTTCTTTTCCTGCTGATCACACACCGGGTCCTGGTGCAGCTCACCACTCATCCAAAGACCGTTTGACGTGCACAGAAATGTCCATACTCAAGCAGGATTTGGTTCATTTTCACCACCGTTCAGCTCTCAGTCTGTGCCCTGATGATGAGGCTCAACTTCATGGTTTTTTTATTTATGTATTCATTTTTTGGCAGGTGATTCTGGTGATACAGAATCCTGTTGAGGTTAATGTGATGTGCGTTAGAAACACCTTTCAAAGCATCACTTCAAAGGTTTTCACAGAGTTCAAATCTACCTAAGACCCACTTCAGAAGCTTTTCTAAGTTAGAAAAAAAACTAGAGAAAAAATATTTCAACCACAAAGATCCAGGTTAAAAAATAAAACATAACCTTTTATTCAGAGGTTTATTTACTAGAGATTTTTCTGCTAAAATCGTGTCTAAATGAGTGCTGAAAGTGAGTAAATGTAGCGTTAAAGCAGAAACTGAGCATTTTAATGTAAAGGTTTTTGTCCAATGAAAGAGCAGCAGTGACAGCTGATTGGTGAACAGAACAGCGTCGTCTCTTTGTGCTGACACATCAAATATCCGAGCAACACATCCTGTCTACAAACTGAAAAGCTGCAGAATATAACGTGTAAAATAACAAGAGAACTCATCAGAGAAGGTGGGGAACTGTCAACAGGGGTGGGAGGAAAACATGAGGAGATTTTAGCTGCAGAGGATCAGGTGGAGACAGATCCTGTTTGTAGTCATTTACATCATTTTAAAATAATAAAACTGCAGATATTAGATAAATCTGCTTCTCTGTTATCATTGTCCTTTGTTCTTCTCAGTCTTATCAATTACTCTGCCTTCAGAGGTGTCCACTCTGTCCTTGTCTTTTTGTTTTTACCTTCCAACAATCTCCTTGTTTCCTTCCTTTTCCTTTTCATTTCTCCACACCTCACCACGTTCTGCGTGCTGTCGATGCCCTCTTGTGGTGAAGTAAACCTGTTCCTCGTCCCAGAGTGATGAGTTTATTAAACTGATAACTTTAAAAGTAGCACCTATAATAAAGTTCACAGTTGCTGCTGTTGGCTGAATAAAAACATTACATTTGACCAAATAATTTACCAAAACATTACTCAGAAAGGGGAAAACAAACAGTCAAGTGTCATTTTCAGGTTGTTCCAGAGTCTGGGGGCTGCTGCTGCAGAAGCTCCATCTCCTCGGTGCTTTAATTTAGCTCTCAGCTGCTCTAACAGCATCAGGCCTGAGGATCTCAGCGCTCTGTCGGGTTATAAAAGTCAAAGTGTTCCGTGGCCTGAGCTCCACTCCTGAATGATGAGCTGATAAAACAACCTGCAGAGATTAAAGTCAACATCTGAAGCATCGGGCCGGTGCTGAACCACTTCAAGTTAATGTGAACTCTTTTCACAGTCCAGGAGATGGGTTAGAGCTGGTGTACAATGTGTGCCTTATATTAATTAATATTATATTAATTATCAAAACCAATTATACTTAAAATAGGTTCTTTTTAAATCTGTAAACACCTCAAATGTTTAATTTATGAATTATTTACTTATAAAGAGGAAAACATAAGATTATTTTATATAAAAGATGAGTGTGGATGGTTGGATGAATTGATGGATGGATGGATGGATGGATGGATGGATGGATGGATGGATGGATGGATGAATGGATGGATGGATGGATGGATGGACAATGACTAGATGAACGGATGATGGATGGATGGATGATGTTATGGATGGATGGATGATGGATGGATGATGGATGGATGGATAGATGATCGTTTGTGGATGGATGGACGATGGATGATGGATGGATGGATTATGGATGGATGGATGATGGATGGATGAACGGATGGATGGATGGATGAACAGATGGATGGATGGATGGATGGATGGATGGATGAACAGATGGATGGATGGATGGATGATGGTTTATGGATGGATGGATGGATGATGGATGGATGGATTATGGATGGATGGATGGATGGATGGATGGATGATGGATGGATGGATGGATGGATGGATGGATGGATGGATGGATGATGGATGGACTATGAATGGATAAACGGATGATGGATGGATGGATGATGGTTTATGGATGGATGGATGATGGATGAATGATGGATGATGGATGATGGATGATGGATGGATGATGGATGGATGATGGATGATGGATGATGGATGATGGATGGATGATGGATGATGGATGGATGGATGATGGATGATGAATGATGGATGATGGATGGATGGATGATGGATGATGAATGGATGGATGATGGATGGATGGATAATGGATGATGGATGATGGATGATGGATGATGGATGGATGATGGATGGATGATGGATGATGGATG